TGTGTCCCAACTGAACCAACTACTTCTAAAATTCAGAAACTGGTGTGTCCACAGGAGAAATAAGACCTACACAAATCTGCTTATGGAAGGGGGAGGCCAGTGACACTGCCTGTGTGGTTGTGCAGAGAAATGAAGAACTAGATATACCAAAGTTTTTCTCCACCCCATAGAAAATGACCATTTAAAGAGTAAATGTGGGGGCTGGGCTGTGGCTCAGTGGCAGAGCGCTTGCACTGGGTTCCATCCTCAGCACCACATAAAAATAAATAAATTAAACAAAGGTAGCGTGTCCATCTACAACTAAAAAAATAAAAACAAAGAGAATACATAAGAATATTCTTTAAAAAACAGAGAGCGAGTAAATGTGTGGCTGGGGTATATAACTCAGTGGTAGAGCGCTTGCCTAGCATGCAAGACCCAAGGTTTGATCCCCAGCACAAAAAGAAAAAGAAGAAAGTAAATGTGAGAGGATAAAAAAGACGACTAAAAGCAAACTGAACACAAGGCTGCCCATCTCTGCTCAGTGCTCCGACCTCCCAGACATCTGATCACAGCAGCTGTGGCCATGCCAAAGCATGTGCACCATGCACAGGTGTGCAGACACACTTATATGCTGTGAATAAAAAAAAAAAAAAAAAAAATCACATCCAAAGCCAGTGAGTGTATGTCAAATCCCTGACCGGCCAGGGCATTCTCTCAAGCTCAATATGCAACTGTACATAGAAGTATGCTGACTAGGTAAATTAGGGGACTGCCACTCAAAATGGTATGTTTGGACTTTTCCATAGGACTGCAATCTAGGACTACCACTCCCTCAGGTGACTGCACCCTGGACCCAGTGTGTGTCCCAACCCCAGCAAGCACTAAAGAGGACCCTCTTTTATTTTTTTGCAGTGCTGGTGACTAAACACAGTGCCTCCATGTTAAGAAAGTGCTCTACCACCCTGAGCTACATCTCCAGCCTTAGGAGTTAAAGGTTTTAAAAAAGGAGGAAGAAAGAAGGGAGGGAGGGAGGGAGGGAGGGAAGGAGTAAATTACTGCTGGGCACAGTAGCAAGTGCCTGCCATCCCAGCAACTTAGGAGGCTGAGGCAGAAGGATCACAAGTTCAAGGCTAGCCTGGACAACTTAGCAGGACCCTGTCTAAAATAAAAATAAAAAGGACTGGGTATGCAGCTCAGAGGTAGAGAACCCCTGGGTTCAATCCTCAGAATGAGGTCGGGGGAACTACCCTTACCAACCAATAAAACATGATCAGTGCTTCAGGGAGAAGGGAGACCATCCCTCCCTCTAAACTGCTGTGGTTTTACACACCTGGTGCCAGGATATGTGCAGCAGAACCAAGTAACAGCAAACCCTCTCCTCCTCCTTCCACATCTTCATAAGAAGAAACCACAGATACAGTGGAAAGCTGTCTGTGGAAATGGGCACCTAGGTACTCACTACCTATGGTGTGAATGACCTTGAACAGCAGCAAATGATCAAGTTCATAAATTATCCTGAAAATTCAGAAGGTCTGTTTTGCCAAATCTCTTTGAAAGTCGGGACACCAGAGTATAAGATTTATGCTTTTGGGTTTTGAGAGTAAAATAAAAACATCTGTTGAAATAATGTGGTTATATAAAACATGGCTTTGGGACATTTTATGATTTGAGTAATGGAAGCACTCAGTATTTTATTCTCAAGAGACTTTTCTCTTTTAAAAAAAAAAAAACCCACAAAACCACTTCATTAATGTTCTTGTAAGAAATATACCTTTAGGAGGTCAGTCAAATAGAGGAAAGTGATCAGAGGTAAGAAGCAGGGGAGTGGTGGGAAGGAATACTGGCCATGTTGTTATACTGTGTGTATGTATTAACATATAACAACAAATCCCACATTATATACAACTATAAAGCACCATTTAAAAACGTGGAGGGAAAAAATATATATACCTTTAACACTGCTCTTTTTAAAGAACTGTTGATCTCTTTCAAAATGAGACAACTTCTCAGATTCAAAGTCTCACCTTGGCTTGCAGAACAGGGGCACCCTGAATGCCCAGGGGCCTCTCCCAGTCACTGGCCAGGTCCTGTGGCTTCCCTCTTCCACAGGCCATCCCTTCCACATCAGAAAGCTCAGCCAGTTGATGAAACCACTAGGCTGACATCTCGGTCAAGTTGGTGCCTGCCACAGATGGGAACCGAGGTGGGCCTCTGTCCTTGGCCATTCTCTCCCTCACCCCTGGTGCCACTGTAGCTCTGTGTGTCTCCAGGGCTCTGGTCCAGGCTCTCCTATCTGCTCCAGATACTCTGGACAGACACCTCTGCACACCTGGCTGTGCTGTCCGTCACTCCACCTGAATCAAACCTACCCATTCACCTGTTCCCCAGCAACTCCACTTTAGGCCTCACACACAGCACCGCAAAACCTACACATGCAGAAAGGAGCTCCTACCTTCTGTCCCTATGTCCAACCCGGGACTTCTCTGGTGTTCCCTATTCAACCAATGGTCTCACCCTTTAAGTCCAGAGGCGCCAGCCAAAAGCCCAGCAATGGACCCGCCCAGCCACACCACCTGCTGTTGTCCCTTGTGTGGTGTTTCTCCCCACACCTGCTGCCTGTCCCTAGCCACCTTCAGCTTCCCCTACTCATCACATTTGACTCCTTGCTCTGCCACCAGTACCACAAGTGGTCAGTTCTGATGACTGTTGCCTACATCTCCCTGCTACATGGACACCACTGCTCTCAGTTTCTTAAAACAACACCTAACAGCTTTGGGAAAAGCCCTCTGGCCAATGTGCTACTGCCTCAACAGGCTCCTCTTCCTTAGTGAGAAAGAACATGTTGCCTTTCTCCTGGATTCTGGGATTAATCATCCCTCATCTGTAGGTCTCTCTCTGAATGCATCTATCAACTCTCAGTTGCAGCCCTGATCTTCCCAGGGAGGTTTAGATGTGTCTGACAGGCACCAAATCCAACACAGCCCACACTGAGCACGCCCTCTTCCCCTCCTGCTCCATCCACATCCTTCATCAAGATTGTTCCCTCAGTGCTGGTACCCCAAAGCAGCCAGGCTGCACATGTGTGCCCCACTCTCAGCTTCTCTCCCTGAGCTCCCACAAATTGCCCATCACTAGGGACTGTCCATTTCCACCTCCCCGAAGGTCTCCCTCCACTTTCCATTTTTGCTCCTGTCGCTTCTGATACAGGTCCGCAATGCTCTTCACTGATTCATTCCTTCATCTACTCAGCAAGTTCATACCAAGCTCCTACTAGATGTTTTAGCTGTAGTCAGTACACCCTATACCTTGTGGTTTTTTGATGGTAAATCATGATTTACTACTAGAACAGGAACATGGGATATGGTGTTGAGAGCCAGAGGGAATGGTTTAGAGTCTCATGTGGGAACAAGGGAGAGGACCAAATCCAGCTTTGTTGGGGAAGACTTCCCAAGGAAGCCCCATGGCTGTTGAGAAGTCAAGGGAAGCCTTTTCCACCGGCCCATCTTGTCAGCCAGGGACAAGCAGCCTTGATGAACAGAGAACCACAAAAGGTCAGGATGGTTGGAGCAGGCAGGGTGAGAGCAGGAAGGGTGGGACTTTTAGCTGCAATCACTTTAAGTGGGCAACTGGGGAGTCCAAAGGGTGTTTAGAGGAGAGTGACCCGGTGAGATAGTGTTGGAAAGATCAACCATGGTCTTGGGAGGGGAGCTGGCAGGACCTCTGTGAAGGTCATGGGTTAGGAAGATCCTGTGGTAATCCAAAGAGCAAAGACCATGGTCTCAATGTTGAGGCTAGGAAACACTAAACCAGGGACGGTTTCTAGGAAGGAGTAAGAAGGAAAAGTAAGACTTGACACTGGTTGGCTGCTGGGGCTAACCCACCACCCAAAGACGGTACCAGTGAAGCCTCAAAATGACCACTCTCTTCTCCTTGGGCTTCCCCCACGCTTTTCCCTGGGCACCCCTTGCACACTTTTGAGTTGACACAGAGCTAAACTTAGGGTTATGCACGGCAAAAGACGTCTGCACTGCATATGCATTTAAACAGCTTTGAGTCTGCAGATTTAGCTTATTCGGTTAATGGGAAATGTCTACTATGCAACCTATTTGCCGAACTGGATTTACTTTCAGTGAGGAAAAGTCCGACCTCAATGTCCCACGACTTCGTTCGCTTTTAAGAATCACACCACACCATCTCACCGACTTGTAAAGATTTCTTCCTGAGTCTTTGCTAAGTCTCGGCAACGACACGAGACCCTGCAGTGATGGCTCGGCGTTCTTCTGGAGCAGGCAAACAATAACAAGGGACTAAATACTCCAACGCCCACTTCCACCTCCCGCCGGGCCGCTCTTCAGGCCGCCCCGCGCTCGAGGCGCCCGGGGCGGGGGTCCCCTCCGTCGATCCTCGAGGTCGGCCGAGCCAGACGCCCTAGGCTGGGTCGTTCTAACTACCGCTCTGGCCTCAAATGAGGACGCGCTCGGCAACGTCCGCCTACTAAACCCGGGGGACTCGCTTCCACCCAGAAGGGAGAGCTCCAGCCGGGCGGCCGTGCTGGGCCTCTGGGACGCAAGCCAGGCAGGCCGCCAGCCGCGAGACGTCCTCCTCGTCTCAGGCACCGGCGCCTTCCCACCCCGCCCCATCCCCTCCGGCCTCACACAAACGACGGGAAAGGAGCCGGGACCTTCGCCTCGGAGTCAGTCTAGACGTCGCCATCCCGGCAGTACGACTCCGCACCCAGACGCCTCCGCAGCGGCCATCTTGCGCAAAAGAGGCCGACGCCTTTTGACTCTCGCGCCAACCCGTAGAGCGAGGGCGCCGCCGGCGAGTTACGCGCAAGAACGGAAGCTAAGGCATCAGCTTCCGGGGACCTCTCGTTCCGCCCCCTCGCGGGAGCGCCCCATTGGCTGCTAGCTCTCTGTCTCGTGGTCTCGCGAGAAGTGGCTGAGGGCTGGACGCCGGCGCGTCTGCCCTCCGGTTCCCCGCCCCGCCCCCGTCTCCGCCGCGGCCTCCGCCTCCCTCTGCTGGGCGATTGCCGCCGTCGCCCCTCCCCGGCCCCGGGAGCGGCCGCGGAGCCGCCGCCGCCGCCCACACTGCGCTGCGCGGAAGGCGGGATCCACAAGGTAAAATGGCCGCGGAAGGCCCCGGCGGCCGGGCTGCGCGTCTCCGTGGGACCCGGCGAGCTGACCGGGGGTCAGGGCGCGCGAACTGGGGTCTGGGCTGGGCCGCCCAGCAGCGCCTTCCTGCCCCACGGGCCCCCGACGGCCGTCTCTCCCGGAAGGGAGCATGCTGCACGCTGGCCCGCGCTCTGTCCGGGGCAGGGTTCGGGAGCGTGCGTCCGGCTCTGCCCAGGACGACTTTCGTAGTAGCACCGCGTTGGAGCCGCAGCGGAGCTGTTGCGTGCAGAGCCGGCCCTGGTCGTGCGCGGGGGCCGAGATGCGGGTCTCTGGTGCCTGTGTACCTGCTGGGGTCCAGGGGCTGCTGGTGTGTGGATGACTGCTGGTTACGTGTGGAAACTCACACGAAGGTGTTTCTTCTGGGGGCTTTTTAGATTGCTCCGTAGCTCGCTAGTTTGCGAATAAGAGTTTTTGGTCTGGCTGAGTTCTGCAGTTGACCTGTAAACCACCTGAGAGACCTTAGTGCCGGTGACAGCCCGCCCACTTGACCTCCCTTCTTCCATAGTGCGCCTCTGCAAGTTCCAGCTGCTGGCGCCTTCACGTCTCTGCTTGGTCTCTGGAGTCCGTGCATCCCCTGAGTGTGTACCCCCTTGTTCCCTGTCTACCCTCTCCCTAGGTGGTCTTTGCTGAACTCTTAGCTTAGATGTTTTCCTCTTCACCACAAATGTTTCCCTAATTAATGTTTCCAGCGTGGGGCTCGACCTGTAATCCAGATGCCTGCTAGACTTCTCCAGCTACTTAGTAGTCATCCAGACCTGCCCTGCTCCTCAAACCTGTTCTGCTTACAGTCCTGCCTCCGTGTTTGTGGTGACATTCTCCAAGGTTTTTCTTGCTTGGAAGCTGATCTGAATTCTTCCCTTGCTTTTGTCCCAACACATTCAGTCCAAGAGTAGCCATTAGCTCCATGACCAAAGCCTTGATCTGAGTGTCTCTCGTCTCTGTTGCTGGCCTGCCTGCTCAGTGTCCAGTGTTCACCCCACTTTCACCCTGGAAACCTGTACCATCTTCTAATTTAATTTATTGAAGCAAATTAACGTGAACTTGGCTGGGTATAAAGTAATATCTGTACATCCATGTCAGTGGCATTGTATGAAAAGTAGCCGGTCAGGGCACTGTGTCTCTACCTCAAAAGCCAGCTAGTGCTCTGGAGCTAGCACAGCAACCCCTGTGGTCCCCACCATCTCACCCTCCTACACAGGTAACCTCCTCTGAAGTGTCAGTTTTCACACCTTTAGCTACTAATACAAAACAAAAACACCTTTTGCCATGTAGATATTTATTGTCATATATTTGTTCTTTCCAAAACTCATGCCTTACTTGGGTCTCCACTGTAACTTGCTGTTTGCATTCAGCATTGTTTTGTGTCATCCACATGACTCTGTGATTTTATTTATTTTAATTGCTTTATTAAATTTTGTTGTGTGATACATGACCACGGTCCCTTCTCAAATATGAATATTTCTGAAACCAAAAGTTTTGATTTTGTTTTTGTTTTTTTTAATCTGTTTGGTGGCAAAACCTGACTTAGTAAAGTCTAACAATCTCCATTGCATTTAGTGTGAATACGCTTACATTTCAATGAAGAAATAATACCAGATTATGGTGTGGTGCCCCAGGCCCTGGAGAGGCTGTCATAAAATCTATGTTAACTTATACCATGTCATCTGTGCAGAATCTGAAAAGTTTTGAATTCCAGAATATACTACCCAAGGGTTTTTTGGATGTGGGCTCTATATACTACGGTTTGTTTGCCCATACTCCTGTTGAATGACTGTCCAGGTAGGTGGCTTTCATGTTCTTGCTGTTTTGAGTAGTACTTCTGTGAGCAGGGTTGTCTGCACTAGGTACATGCAGATGAGCTTTTCTACGGTATAGATTTAGCAAGAATGGAAATGCTAGGTTCTTAGGGGTACCACATGCAGGTTTACAAATAACCTGATGCATTTCAATGAATCAGTCTTCTGACATTACAGTAAAAGAGGTCAAGAGAAGTGTCTTTGCCAGCACGTGGCATTGTTGGATTTCTTTGCCAGTCTGGTGGGCATAGGTAGGCTTACAGTCTCATTTTACTCACATCATAGCTTATAACCCCCAGTAGTTCCCATTACACTTAGCTGAGACCCTAAATATCTCCCTCAGCTCAGAAGGCCTCTACTCTCTGATGCCACTGACCCTTTGCCTCTGAACTCTCAGGCCTTTGCTGCTTTCTTGCATCCGCTCTGCTTTCAGCACACCTAGCCTTGGTGTTCTCTACATGTGCATTTGGGTCTCAGGTCCTTTGTACTTGCTATGTTCAAGGTTGACAGCACCTTTCCACCCTCCCACCCCCACCTCCTACTGATTTGCTGCATTTGCTTTCTGAGAGGATCCGCTGGGCATAAAATTCTTCACCAATTACCAAAACTTTTTTTTTCTATAGAAATAAACCAGAATGAGTTATGCAGAAAAGCCTGATGAAATCACGAAAGATGAGTGGATGGAAAAGCTCAACAACCTACACGTCCAGCGGGCGGACATGAATCGCCTCATCATGAACTACTTGGTCACTGGTAATGGCCTCTGTGGGGACAGCCACTTGGGCACAGCACTCCCTTTTACTCCCTTGTACTCAGTGGTAATGCCACATCGTGTTCAGGCATTGGGAGATGCAGTGCTCACTTGACATACTGGTAAACTGTGTTAAATACAGCCTTTTCAGGAGACGAGATATGTACTCCAGGTCTTTGAGAGCTAAGGCAAAAATCAGTGTCTTGGCCTTTGACACTTTTGTAGTTAGGTAATCCAGATCATTAAGACCATTCTGAGCCAGGTGTGATGGAGCATGCCTGTCATCCCAGCGACTTGCAAGGCTAAACCAGGAGCATCCAAGTTCAAAGCCAGCCTCAGCAACTTGATGAGACCCAGTCTCAAAAAATAAAAAGGACACTGGGGTTGTAGCTCAGTGGTTAAGCACTTCTGGGTTCAAGCCCAATACCAAAACAAAACAGAACAATTCTGAATTGGACTTAAAGGTCAGATAATTGATGTTTTCTGGCGAGTCTGCTTCTATAAGGAGTGCCCAACTCAAAAAAGAGAGAATGGGAAGCTGGGCACTGTGGCACAGGCCTGTAATCCCTCCTGTTTGGGAGGCTGAGGCAGAAGGATTACAAGTTTGAGGCCAACCTAGGCAATGTAGCAAAATCTGTATGGAAAAGAAAGGAATGGGGACTGGGAATGTAGGCGTCCCTGGGAGATTAATCCCCAGTACCACAAAACAAACAAGCAACAAAAAAAGAGGGAAGGAAGAGAGCAGGAGCCTGCAGAAAGAAATAGCACCAAGACCCCCTCCTCTTGGCAGGAAGAAGATCACTGACAGCTCTAGTGAGAAAAATCAGGGATTTTCAAAAGGCAGGAAATGAAGTTCTCTCCTTCCCTCCTGTTCATCCCTTCAAGTTAAAATCTTCCTCTGTTAATCCCCAGCCATCTCTTTAAGTTGATTTCTTAAAAGCTTCAGAAAGTTGATGAGGAAATCAGCATCTGTCCTTGTGGTGTGGGAGAAGGGGACAAACACTGCGCTGATGGTGAGGGAGCAGTTGGCTCAGGGCAGGTGAAGCTGGCATGGGCACAGCAGCCCCTTGGAGGCACAGCTGGTGTGTCTGCCTCACCAGGAGCCAGGGTGAGCTCTGGCGTGCTAGCCTGCAGTCCCAGCCTTCTTCATCTAGTGGGTCTCACTAACCTCTTGGCTGGGAAGGTGGGCTGTTTGGTTGGGATGGAAGGAATGAAGTGTGCTGTTTTTCAGTTCTGTGTTTGGAGAGCATAGCCTATAAATCACAGAGACAGGAATACCAAGTCCCTAAGAAAGTGTGGTTGGTGTCAGGGCTTATCTAATTGAGGCAGCTGGACGTTCTAGAGGTATGAAGGCTGTGATAGTTCCCTGCTGCCTTTCCTAGTGGTAAACATAGTTTTCATTTCTAGAAGGCTTTAAGGAAGCAGCGGAGAAGTTTCGCATGGAATCTGGAATTGAACCCAGCGTGGATCTGGAAACTCTTGATGAGCGAATCAAGATTCGGGAGATGATTCTGAAGGGTCAGATTCAGGAGGCCATTGCATTGATCAACAGCCTCCATCCAGAACTCTTGGACACAAACCGGTACCTTTACTTTCATTTGCAGGTGAGTGTTATTGGATGTGGATACTTGGTAAATTAAGGTTGTTTGCAAAGACAAGTAAGCAGGCTACTTGGCATTAATAGAATATTGTAGTTTTTTGTGGAAATGGTATTAGAATTATGTGCTTTACTTATTTCAGAAACTCCTTTTTGCTTTTAAAATACAATTTTTTTTTTTAATACAAATTTAACAACCTGGAGGTATTAGAAAAGCCTCTTCTTGGAGTTGTACCTTTTTTTTTTTTGGTGGTGCTGGGGATGGAATCCAGGCCTTGCACACGTGGTAAGGAGGTGTTCCACCCCTGAGCCCCACCCCAGCCCGTCGACTGTACCTCTGACTGGAGCCCAGTGCTCAGTGTTGCCTGCCTGGGTGGTCTGCTGAGCGTGTCTGTGTTTACCATTGACCAGCAACAGCATCTAATTGAGCTGATCCGCCAGCGAGAGACTGAGGCGGCACTAGAGTTTGCCCAGACGCAGCTGGCAGAGCAGGGTGAGGAGAGCAGAGAGTGCCTCACAGAGATGGAGCGAACACTAGCCCTGTTGGCCTTCGATAGCCCCGAGGAATCACCCTTCGGAGACCTTCTCCACATGATGCAGAGGCAAAAGGTAGTGGTCTATAAGAGGGAAAATCCTTTTACCCTGGTGGATATTAGAGAGGCGGTTCCAAAAGGGTGGCATGTGCACTGCATTTGTGTTCTGGGGTGGGACAGGGCTCTGGCTTGTGGTTCTTTGGGGTGATAGTGGCGACTCCTCCCTGGCGTTTTCTCTTTCATCTTGTTGAAGGAGGAGCAGCAGAGGGGTGATGGCCTGGCGGTGTCCAGACCCCTGTGCTCATTTTTTTTTTTTTAATTTATCTTAACCTTCCTCCTGTTTATTTGAAAACTTCTAGAAACAGGTGTCCTAAGAGGTTTTAAATTATAATTGTGTTTTTTTCTGGGACTGCTGCTGCTCTCGTGTCCAGCCACAAACTACAGCTCAGTGCTCCCAAACCCAGACCCCTCTCCTCCCAGAGCCCGAATGGTTCAGGGCTCTGACCTCCCTGCACCACATTGGAAGGACTGCCTCCCCCAAAGGTTGCCTGAGGCTCTATAGGAGGGAGCCATGTTGCCACTGTACTGGCCTCTGCTCTCTCAGTCCCTGCGGCACTTTATTTGAGAGGCTTGCAGCACTTAAATGACCTTGAAGCTGGAGGTGACACTTGCTGACCAGATTATAAAAGCTACTCTGGGCAAGGACTGTGTTTAATGCCTCCAGAGTGGCTCATAATTTTGGGTTTGATGTTCATTTCAATGAATAGCAAACTTCTCATGAAAATGGTTTCCAAGAACATAAAATGCGTGTTGTTAGTAGACGTGGCGATGCTCTGTGTGTGTGACCTTCACTGGATGTGTCTGTTTTCTAGGTTTGGAGCGAAGTTAACCAAGCTGTTCTAGATTATGAAAATCGCGAGTCGACACCCAAACTGGCAAAATTACTGAAACTGCTACTGTGGGCTCAGAATGAGCTGGACCAGAAGAAAGTGAAGTATCCCAAAATGACAGACCTTAGCAAAGGGGTGATCGAGGAGCCCAAGTAGAGCCTGTGCAGGCCCACCGCGCCACTCCCCACAGGACTCGCCTTCCCTGGCACAGCTGTAAGGTTCCCACTGCAGTAGGAAGCTTTTCCCCCTGGTACTTTTTTTTTTTTTTTTTTGACTCAGCATCTTTCTTAAAAGGAAAACGGCTCTTTTAAATGTTGGAAGCCCCTCGGTGAAGGGTGCCATCTGGGAAAGCTGTCCGGCTGTGCACTGGTGTGTCCTGAGGACCTCAGCGCCTTGTGTCCCTGTCGGGGTGCTCTTGTGCCTGGCTGCCATCGGGGCTGGGTTCCTAGGGCTGCTGGGTCGACCCCGGCCTCCCTTTGAGGGGCATGAAGAGCACCCGTCACTCTTGCTTTCTGCTGGCTTGTAGGCAGACAATGCCTTTGTTAATTTTCCTAAGTCTTGTCAGGCCTTCATCTTCAAGTTTTTCCTCACCCATGTTTTTCATTTTTTTTTTTCCCTTCTCTAGGAAACAATATATAAATTTGTAAATCCTAATTCAAAGATGACTTTCGTGTGAGGGTATTGAGTTGGATTTGTTTTTCTCTTTTAGTCTGGGTTATGTGGCTTTCGGGGAGACGTGTGTAAGGGGTGGAGCTGTGTGCATTTTAATTTTTTATATATATATTTTGGTGCTGTATGTGATGAGAGACGAATCAGTGAACCATCTCTTGTAGGCAGTTTTGTTGAAAATAAAGGTTTCTCTTTGATTTCAATAATGACCACAATGGCCACTGAAAAACACTTGTCCTTTCAGCCAGCCTCTTGCTGGCACTCACTTCCCTGTGCTTAAGTGTGAGGCAGCCCTGGTGCTATGGGGATAGGCCTCAGCAGGGTGCCCAAGGCTCTCTGTGGAAGTGCTGCTGCTGTCACGACTGTGTGTCCAGACTGTGTCCATCATGTGACACGTGTGCAGGTCGGCCCTCGGTAATGGGCATGTGCACACACGAGTGCAGACATGAAACCTCTGGTTGCAGAGGGGCCTCTAGGGCCGTGCCAAAAGCCAGTGTTGGGGGTGGTCTCAGCAAGTCTGGCGGGCCATGGAGATGATGCAGGAACTATCCAGGGGTGGGAGTACTCACTTGCCTACAGGGACTGAGACTCTGCTGAGTCTCATCAGTCCCTTGGCTGAGTCCTGATGCTGGAGTAGAGTGTTCAGGGGCCTGGGGCCCGCAGGAGAGTGGTGTATTCTGCTTGTTCCAAGCAGCACTAGGCATCTGGACCAGCAAGGTCCGACTGGGGAGCAGGCGCCAGCTTGCCAGTGCTGGCCAGTCAGGTGATCCCCTGCTGGGGGGCTGCTCTGCACATCTTTCTCCTCCACCTGCAGCCTGGCAAGGTGTTCTCAGCCTCTCTACTTCTGTTTTCACTGGGTAGAAGCTTTTACCTAGATGGTTGGTGAGTGAGTCAAAACAGTAGAGCTGTTGGCAGCCATGATGGAGCCACCGTGGCCCCCAGACTGCCCCTTCCGCTGTGTTGGTTTGGGAGGTGGAGGGAGGGGAGGTCTGCCCCGGCCTCTTAGTCACAGTGAGTTGTCTTCAGGTGCAACCTTTCTTTAGAACTTTCCTTCCTTAGTTTTGAAAATGAAAATAAGAGGGGAAGGGAGCTTTAATCTTCAGGTACTAATAGGTTGGACGTAGCAGAAGGTGGGGAGAGGTAGAAATAAAACTGCATATTTTGAAAAGCCCTAGATGACCAGCACATGATCAACTATCCTTTCTCAGTATAGATGAGATCGCTTCCATGGACAGTGTTTGCGCGATCTGGCACATGTGTGAAGTGTCGTCAGGTGGTGAGAAGACGAGACGATGGTGTTTTATTTGCCCATTCTGTCAGAGCAGCTTCAGCAGCCATTGCTGCTCTCTCCAAGGCTGGGATGTCAGAGTGCAGGACTTCAGGTGTCCTGCCTTCTGCCAGCGCCCTGGAGAACCCCTCAGGGCTGCTTTGCTCTTAGTCTCTGCAGCAAGCAAGTGAAGTTAGACTGCTCTGGGATGATGGACGCCCAGTATACTTTGGCTTTTCTACTTTGTTTCATCTGGAGCCCACTGATGTGTTCATTAAGATGTAGTGTTATAGCTGGCACTGTGGCACGTGCCCATAATCCCAGGAACATGGGAGGCTGGGGGAGGAGGATGAGTGGCTTGGTGAGATCCTGTCTTGAAATGAAAGTTAATAGAAAAAGTGCTGGGGTGTAGCTCTGTGGCAGGGTGCTTGCCCAGCATGCATAAGCTCTTGTGTTGGATTCCCTGTGCTGGAAGGAAAAAAAATGAATTTCAACTGTTTCACAAAGTAGTTATTTCTTCTTTTTATGCCTTCTAATGGGAAGTGCCTTGAAATAAAGGAAACTTTGATAATATTCTGGTGTTCTGTTCCCATATCATGAAGTCGTGGGAAGAATAACTCTGTTCTGGAACTTTCTCAGTCATTGGGGTTATTGCCAGTTAATTGAGGACTTGTGTGTTTGCCACTTGAATTAAGTTTTCAAGTTCTGGGAAAGGCAGGTGTTGACCATGGCCTTGCCTGAGACATGGCTGAAGACCGGTGGCCCTATGCATGCAGAAACCGCAAACCAGAGTCTACCCTCAGGGTGGGGTCGAGGTTGGGGTAGCACACTTTATTTCCTTCTTTCTGTGCACTTTTGGTTTGGAGAATGGAAGAACTCGGAATCCAGGAAGACTCTTAACATGTTTCATGATACAGATGCTGACGCCTTCAGGATAATGGAGCAGGACTCCCTTCCAGGTTGTTGCTTTCCAGTCTCAGTATGAACAAAAGACCAAATTAAAAGCCTCAGGAGAGCAGAGAGGTCTGTCTGCACCTCTGCTGGTGGAAGGTGTCGAGTGGTGTTGTGGGACACCGTGGCATGGGTGAGTCTGTCCCTAGCCTTCACTCGTCACTGCTCTGTTGATGATTTATTCTGATGCCACCACATGGATTCTTGCAATGGGATATGTTTTGGTGTCAGAAATAGGTATTGCTGTGTCAGATGGACAGTCATTCTGTCTGCAGCAGCCATGTAAAATCCTGCAAAATGCCCTCGTCCGCCAGAGCACTGTGTTGTGTGCACATTGGGTTCTGTCATTTCTTGTTCCAGGGAGGCATTTGAGCCCTGCCAAGCCCTGTATCTTCTGAGAAACGCAGAATAATAGCTTTTCACTGCCTGTCCTTAATTTGATAGTAAAGATTTTCACAATTTTCCCAGAATGATCATCTTTTTTTTCTTCCATAAAGATATATTGATAAATACAGAGAAATACTACATTTTGGTGGAAGTCAGTATGTCAGAATTGGAAGAGTAGAAAGAAACTGGATTCCTGTAACTACACTTTGGTTTTAATCTTGCCCCACTCCAGTAGTACTTATCTTTGTACAAGAAAATCTCCAAGGGCTGGGATTGTGGCTCAGCGTTAGAGCACTCGCCTAGCATGGGCGGGACCCAGGTTCAATCCTCAGCACATAAAAATAAAGGCATTGTGTTATATCCATCTATACCTAAAAAAAAAAAAAATTAAAAAAAGAAAGAAAGAAAATCTCCAAGCATATCCAACATAAGAGCCCACCACTCTGCTGGGAGCTGCAGCTGTTGCGCGGGGCTGCTTCCTGTGCTCTCAGCCATCATGGTAAGGGCTCAGGCTGGTGGAGGGCTGTATGAGGAAGACGCCATGGGGTCAGCAGTGGCACCTGGGGTGTGACGTCATGCACTTAGTGCGTGTTGGGTGTTTTAGCATAGGAAAGGAAGACCTTCCTCCCCATCACTGTTCCTGTTGACACGACAGGAACTGGTGTGTGATCCTGATGCTAGCTCAGGTTTGCCTCGTGCTTGCAGAAGGCAATGCAGTGATTCATGACGGTAGGTGTCACTGGACTGCTGGGATGTGTGTGCCAGCATGGCAGTCCAAGAAGCTCCTGGACAAGCTGTGACCCGCTTGTCTGGGATGCTCTGCCTGTGTCAGGGTACCATCATTGCTTGCAACTTTTTACTCATGTAAAAGTAAAATATGGCATTTGCATGGCCCTTGGTGTAGCTCATTGTGCTGGACTTCTGGGGCCTGTGCTCCATCGGGTAGACTGTCCTGACTCAGAGTGGCTCTAGGCAGTGAGGCCTGGGTCACAGACCCATGGACTTGAGGCACTTGATACAACTGCTCACGGGTAGATGTGGTTCATGGGTGATGACTCCACCTGTGTGGGGAAGAGATACCCCATCTCAGGGTGCGTGTGGATACTCAGCAGGAACATGGTGATCCAGTCTATCTGGAGGAGCCACAGGCCTGTTTGCACCCAGAAGGTACCGAGATGTGACTGCTGGAGATGAGTGGGCTCTGTGCACGGTGTCTTTGAAGGAGTGTGTTTTATTTTATTTATTTATTTATTTTTTAATATTTTATTTTTTAGTTATCAGCGGACACAACATCTTTGTTTTGTTTTATTGGTATGTATGTGGTGCTGAGGATCGAACCCGGGCTGCACGCATGCCAGGCGAGCGCACTACCACTTGAGCCACATCCCCAGCCCCCAGGAGTGTGTTTTAGATGCAGGTCCAGTGCGAGCCTGCCCAGCTGCTGTGTGTGCTGGGTGGGAGCCTCCTGGCTGGCATATGGATCTTGGGAGGATGACCACTAGAGTGCAGTTGCTTCCTATGCCGGCAATACGTGGCCTCCAGCCAGCTCTGTCTTCTCCCTTCCTGCAGACACACTGACAGCTTTGCTCACACACGATTTTCTCCCTCCTATGGCTCAGGAGTTTGACAGTTTCCCCACTGGCTTTTGGAAGTGGAATAAGCTGACCCATCAAGAGTTGTGACCTGGAGTGGCGGCAGTCAGCCGTAACCTGCAGGACTGTCAGCTGCTCAGGCCCAGGGTCCCTGTTTGGCTACAGACTCAGGATACCATGGTCTCTGCCCTCTGCGCACTCCAGTTTGAGATCTTGCCCAGCAGTATTTTTAAGATTTAAACTAAAGTCACAGCACCTTGGAAAGCACGAGTGGCCAGAGCTTCAGGGTCTCCACGTATAGTCCCGGCCGCACAGAGCTGTTGGCGTCTCAGAGAGCCTTCCTCTGGCTTCCTGTGGAGTCAGGTGGGCCCTTGTCCCATTTTCTTCTCTGCTGAACGCAGTATGCAGTCCAGAAGGTGGGCGCTCCCTCTGCAGTCATCCATGCTAATGTGTCCAGCATTAAGATCTCCTTCATTACATTGCCTGTCAGTAACAGGAAACAGTGTCACGTTTCAGTCCACTGATTTGGATGTCTCATCTTTAGGGCCGTGCTCGAAAGTTGGGCTGGAGGGGTGGAGTTAAGTGGGTATAGGGAGGAGACCCAGGAGGCATGGGTTTGCCTTTGCCATCTGGATCCACACCTGCCTCCCTCCCGTGTGGTGGATGCTGAGGAGCAGGATGGCAGCGCCAGCGCAGAGGTGGGTATTAGTGAGGCTATAGATGCACAGCTGTCTCCCTGCAGCAGCACCTGGAGTGCACAACAGGTAAGGTCGGCTGGCCACCTGAGAGCAGGAAGCCATGCTTCGTGACACCTTTGTCATGAAGGTCACCCTGTGTCCCAAGACCCAGGTGTTCCCCATTCTCATCTTCTCTGTAAGGAATTTCCCATGTGGAAATGACATTTGTTGGTTGGGTGTGAGAAGCTCATAGAATTAGCAGGAAGCTAGAGTGTGTCTGCCCTGGCCACCACCAACACCTGAGGTGTGGCCCTCCACCTGCACCATGCCTCTGCTTTAATGGGCCAGGGCCCTAGGGCCTGGATGAGGCAGCAGCCTTGCTCTCCCTGTCACCATGCTGCCATGGCCTGTACACATGCAGCCAGGGTGGTCTCTGAACCTCTGGGGACTTCCTGACTTCTTTCTGGCCTCTTTCCCCTGCCTCAGCCCCAGCCGTGTGGGCAGCCACCCTGTGTCCTGGCCTTGGTCCTGAGCTGCGTGCCCACCACCGTGGCTCACTCTGCGCAGGTCTCTCCTCACCCAACCTATTTGAAGTAACATCCCTTCTTTCCTTTTGTCTGTTCACCCCAGAGCATCAGCTCCAAGAAGAAATGATAAATGTCCAGTACATTGTGATTCCGGGACTTACATAAAATTATCATCAAAGAACTTCATGCAGTGGATGAAAGTCAGTAGGAAGAGAACAGAGTGTTGATACCACAGTGTAGGAAAAATCCTCAAGCCCCGTGCAGTGGGCTAGGGATACTGAGGGAATCCTCTGCCAACATTTCTATTCTGCTGAGCACTGATATGGAGGAGTAGCCTTGCTTTTAGGTCCTGGGTTTTTTGTTGTTGTTTTGTTTTTTCTTTAATTGAACCATGGGCCTCACACATGCTAAACATGTAATCTACTGAGCTACACCCCCAGCCCAGATCCGATATTGTTTAGACCTCTACTGCCAGTGTGTATGGAGCTGGGCAGTGCACACCAGGAGGCAGACGCTGGGGGCCCTGCAGGGGCTGGGCTGTTTAAAGTGCAGGTGTCTCAAGGGTGCAGGGAAATCCCGCTCTTTCCCCGTGAGTGAGCCTTTTGCAGGTTTCAGCATGGAGCTGGTGTGAAGAGAGACCCCTGGATGTCTGCCACCTTTTTCTGCTGGGTGTGCCTTGTGCTGAATTGTCAGCGTAGTGCTGGCACCTCAGCAGCAGGCTTGAGTAAGACTCGACCCATGCCTAGCCTCTGGCACCAGCCCAAAGCCTGACCCACACTGGTGCTCGATACTAGCTGTGCCATGGGCTCAGAGGTGAGTGACCATCTTACTCCTTCAGCACTCTGTGGACACCTGAATCACCCAGCTCTTACCAGCCTAACTTGGGGGAGTTCCACAGCTGGGGCCTGCCCCAATAAATTCATTTTAAAAACTGGTTACCCAGCAGCTTTGCTGTCGTCCCACCTGGCTAAGGATTTATCCGCAAGCTTGATTGAATCAGTACACAGCCTTGTGGGAACTTACTTCATCCCCAGTTTGTAGACAGGAACAGGGGCCCCCACTGTTCCAGAGCCTGCCCAAGGTCACTGCTGGGCTGGTACATCCGGGGCCAGGATCCCCCCCCCAGGATTGGTCTCCTCCACAGCCCGGAAGTCCCAGTGCCAATCCTGGGGGCTGCATTGCGGCCCAGCCCTTCCTGTGGGACTGTAGGGAGGTCCCAGCCAACCTCCCTGGTCTTCGTTGGTGGGGCGGGGACCCAAGCCCCAGGGCTACTGACAAACACCTCCTGGGAGGGCCAGACGGAAGTGCAGCAGCGGCTGGGACTGACACGTGGACTTGGGCGGCGCTGCCTGGGAGGGAGGTGGAGGGCAGGGCACTGGGACACTGCTGTGCCCATGTTGTCCTAGCGCCCAGCCTGATGCAGCCACCCCCAGAGACCCGCAGAGATGCAGCTGAAAACGCCCAGTGGTCCAGGTGGGGCAGGGGCAGCCGCGGGGGAGGGGGTTGCCCAACACTTGGGGAGGGAGCGGAGATACTGCCACAGGACGTCCACTCAGGAGTGGGGAGTGCTGGAGTAGGGAGACTGTCCACCAGCCCTCTCCTGCCCCATTTCATTCCCCCAGCTCTAGCCCCTAGGACAGAGGACACAAGCATCCACCCATCGGGCTGCTCCTTCCCTCCAGTCCCAGAACATGCCAAGAGGCCCCTGAACCCTCCCAGCTGGTTATCCTGGGGGTGTTCCAGACGGGCAGTGTCCTCAGGACTGGATGGGTTGGGACTGCCTCCTGTGGAGGACCCTGGCTGAGGCTAATCCCGAGAATGCCTGTGCTAACTGGGTGCCAGGCTGGGGCAAGCACCCACTGGCCTCTGTACTGCAGAAAAAGCACTGTTCATCCTGTTTCCACTGTCCCTGGGCATATAGCACCCACAGAAACCAGGAGGGAGATGGTGGCAGCTGGCCTTGAGCCAGCTGGCAAGAGAGTCTAAGTGGGAACCCCAAGAGGAACCCCACCCCCTCTGGTTCTGTGGGCTGAGGCCCCTTGGTCAAGGCACTGGACCTGGGGCTCAGCATCAGGCCTGGTATGTTCAAGAGCTGACTGCCACCCAGCACCTCCAGTGTCCTTGGAACTTCTGGGAGGCAAGGCTGGGGGCCCAGGAGAGGACACAGCGCCACAGGGTTTGGCCGGAGGAGATGAGGAGTCAGATGAGCTCAGTCCTGTGCAGAGCCCACCCAGTTCCCAGCTTCTAGCTCCCAGGCAGGCTTGTCCACTGTGCTGCCATGAAGCCTGAGGACTAGTGCCACCACTGGACACAGTGAGGGTCAAAAGAAGCCCCCAGACTGGGGCTGTGTGAGAACATAGCTAGCCGGGATGTGGAGACCCCCGCTGGTCAATGCCAAGTCACAGACCTGCAAGCACCAACTAGAAGGGAAGGGCTGTACTTGGGTGTGCCAGCATTAGGGCTGCGGCCTGCCCCTCGGTCATGGCCTTCCTCCCCACCCTGTGTACCCAGGCGTCTCTGCCCAGTGCACTTGGCTCCTGAGGTGTGACCAGAGCCTGCAGAGTGTGCTGCAAATGTCACTGCAGGGTGTGACTCGATGGCCCTGCCTGGCATTTGCATTGACTGCTTCCCTCCGTGCCTACCATGTTACTTGCTCCTTTAGGCCTTTCTTGACTAGATGGTCGCAGAGAATTTGGAGTGGGGGAACTTCTGGGTCAGGGCCATCCACAACCCATGCGTGGGTTTTAATAATGGCAGTAGGTGCTCCCTTGGTGCACGTGTCCCCTCCAAGAGCCCTCTGCCTGGTTGGGGAGTCAGGCCTCTTCAGCAGATCATGGGGCCAGGAGGGGTGGTGCTGGGGTGCTTGCGGGCCCTTGGTCCCTGGTGTCCACACGTCAAGGGCCACTCTCCCACCCATGTGCTCAGCCACATATGCCTCTGTATAGGCCGTCTGCGGAAGCAGGGCTTTAGAGACTCACAGGAAGCACCTGCCACTCTGGGAGTCTCCACGGAGGCACAGGCCCCAAGGGGTTGGGGTAAGTGGACCTTTTCAGGCAAGTTCTGCCCCAAGTTCCTGTTCCTAACCAGTCCCCAGGCAGGATGGCCGATTCTGGGCCCAGGGTCCTGAATGGCCCTCAAGTCACTGCTGGCCTTGGGGTTGCTACCTTGGTCAGACTTCCTTGTGTCCCCAGCACTCTGGGAGTCCCTTCATCAGCCTGGCCCACACTCCCAGCTCAGGAATGAACAGGCGGGTTCCGGAGAGGAAGCAGACCCCACAGTGCCCGCTGGCCTGCCTATGGGCCCTCCCTCTGGTGCCTCCAGCTGGATATACACTGGAAGCTGATGGGTTTTGTTGGACCTCTTGCGGCCCAGCACTGAGTTCTCAGCCTTCTGGAGGGGGTAGGTCCCAGCTGGTCCCCGCTGTTTCTAAGTGCTCTTCCCCAGAGAGCATCAGGGCCAGACTGCTGCAGTTGCACCCAGGGAGGGACAGTATTGTGCTGGGTGGGCCCTTCCAATGCAGGTGGTGCCTTGGTTGCTGTGACCACGTAGAGGATACAGCTCCTTTATAAAGCCACCTTCGGACTCTGGCTTGTGGTGGGAAATCATGAGTGCTGCTCCCACACCCCTGTGGCTGCCTCCTGCATCCACTCAGTTAGAAATAAACCCCACTTGAATGTGTGCACATAGCTCACCTAGGATGGCTCTGAAGGCCGGGGCGGTGCTGCAGGACAGGACAGGGCAGACTGGCCAGCAGCAGCTCGGACTGTGTCCCCCTGTGTTCTAGTACCCAGTAGTAATGTTTACTCAGGACAACATCTCCAGAAGGGATAGAGGCCAGGGGACTGGGGTGGACCACTAACTAGGAGCCCTGTCAGGGCAAGGCTTTGTCCTCGAGGAGTCTCAGGAGCCCGAGCTGGGCACCTCAGCCCCTCCCAGGGATTCCATGGTACAAATCCAGACTGGAAGGGAAGGCTCAGAAACCCAATTCCTGGTGAATGACAACCACTCGTCCACACAGCCCAGAGTGGGAGGGTCAGAGCTTTGCTTGGATTAATGAGTTTGCAATTTTCCTAGCAGACCAAGCTCAGACTGACGGAACTCATCTGGGTCCTTGCTGGCCAGAGACCCTCTTCCCACCTAACCAACCCACCTAGCACCTGCCTTGTCCTCTGATTCTATAAAGGATACTATCATTTGATGATACAAACCCCTGGGAGGGGCAATGAGTTCTGGGTCCACTGCCTTCATGGGACAGCTAGGCTTGGCCCCTAAGTGGACACCCACTGAGAAGGTGCAGGGACCCTCCATGCTTGCCATCCTCTCCCAAGGTCCAGGGTCCATGTCAAAGGAGTCTGATCTCAAACCAGTTGGAGGGGCCATATTTCTGCCTGAGGGACTCAGAGGCCCTGATCCCAGCAGGCGCCATGTCGGGTATCATCAGACCTGGGGCCCCAGGGGCCGCTTGTCACCTTGGGGGGAGCGTGGTGAAGCCTCCTGCTCTTCTGGGAAGGGGTGGCCTCAGCCTGCACTGTCTTTCCCATAGCAGCCCTGTAGATGGCCCCTGGGGAGGCTGGAAAGGTTGGGATGCTGCCCACAGGTCCTCTGCAGTCTCCTCCAGCAGATGCTCGACATCTCATCCAAGGGCTGCTGCTGGTCCCCCAGGGCTCAGACACCTGCCTCTCAGGAGAATGGAGCATGACTCTCCAGCTCCCCACCTCATTCGCCATCTGAACCATCTGGTCATCTGGTCATCTCTATTCTGTTGACAGCTGTTCTCAGAGGCCTGTGCTGCCCTTTCCCAATGGATACCCTGGGGCACTGACTTTGATTCCTAGCATTTCCTTGGTGACTGTGCTGTCCCCATGGGCTTCCATCCAGCATCCTGGTCTTCATCCTTCCCCTCCCTCTGCTGGCCCTGAGGGGCTCTGGTCTCCATCCAGGCTTCCGGCACTTATGCTGGAATTCCAGCTGGGTCCCCACTGCCCCCCATCCTGCAGCAGCTGCTCTGAGTCCTGTCCAACCTCCTACATGCCCCACTCTTAGAGGAAGTGCTTCCTTCTGCTTCCTAGGTGGCCCCAAGCACTCCCCGTTCGCCTCTCCAAGTGCCCCTGCTTATCACAGGTCCCACTGCACGAACCGTACTCAAATTCCTTTATGAGAAAGCCGAGTGTGTGTGTCAGGATCATTCTTAAGATGGTGCACAGAGTTCTCAGCTCCCTGCCACCAGTGTCCCCTTCCAGTACCTCCAGTCCCTCCCCTTCTCGAAGGAGACCTTGTTCACACAGAAGCGTCACCACCAGCCCACTCCACGCTCCTCTGGCTTCCTCAGCTTCTCCTTAGTGTCCCCACCTAGGGAACTGCCATTCAGTCCTCCTGCCTTTCAGTCCTCACGTCTCTGAGGCTGCTCTTGGCTGTGGCTGCTCCTTCCGCCATCGTGACTGTCTCTAGGAGGACTGCGGTGCTCTTGGACTGTTGCTGCTGGTGTTTGGGGATGAATGTCTCTGCTGGCTGAGGGTGTGGGGCCTCAGGAAGAGATGATGGGCTCTTCTTGTCGAGGCCTGTTCTACTGAACCAGGAGCAGTTCCCCCACTGAATCCGTTGTAGAATTTACTCACCAGGCCAGGAGAGGGACAGCAAGTCTCAAGCTCACCTACCCGAGGGAAGGGTTTGGGGCTGTCTGTGGGCTGATCCAGTCCATCAGCTGCTGACCCTCCTGACCTGCTGTCTGTCAGAGGGGTTCTCTCCACCTCTGACACTGCTGATGTCAACCGAAGCAAGGGACAGTGGGCAAAGCAGGTTGAGTGGGGTTTATTTGGGTCCCTGGTTTCACTGTCAGGGTCCCTGCTGTCAGCAGGACTCACCAGGGTGGATGTTAACCTGTCCAACATTGCTTGCCCCCCCCCCTCGTCCCCTGCCGGTCATCTGAGCCCCGCCTCACCACTCCCTTCAGACCCCTCAGGCTCACCCCAAGCAGGTCACAAAGCTAGGCCTGCAGCCCCTGAGATGTGACCCTGGGCATCCAAGAATGTCCTCCAACTTTCCTCTGGGCGGGCTGCCTGGCCCCAGGACTGACACACAACCCACCTCTCTTCTGCCCTGGAGACTCCACCAACGTCCCTAAGGCTCTTCGTGCTCACCCCACTGTGATGGTCATTGCCACCAATGCAGCCTGACCCTTCCTGAGCCCCTGCCTGGCATCTGACTCAAGGAGGCCCAGCCCTAGCTACTACATCTGTTTCACAGCCCAGTGAAAAGTGGGGGCCCCTTGCAGTCCCCACACCCAGGCCACACCAGGCCGGCGGACACTCACTCCTGACTCTCTCAGTCTGTGCACTCGCTCTCTTCCCAGCAGGGCCCATTTGTCTGCTCACCCCACAGGATGTGTCAGAATGGTGGGGTCACCCTGCAAAGTGTCAGGTAGAGACAGATACTCAGGAGGCCCCTCCCCGACTCTGCGCTGCCCATTGGACCTTCCTCCTCTTGAACTCTGCTGCCTCTGGTGGGTCTGGATCTAGACCCCCATCGCCATCCTGGACCCCCTCCCAGTCAGATCAACCCCAGCCAGGGTTTTTGTTTGGTTGGTTGGTTTCTGGTTTCTACTGGTCACTTCAGCAACCAGGAGCCAGGTCTGCCTTCACTCTCAGGTGTCTGTGGGGCTGGTCCTGAGTGGCTTTTGGCGGTGTGGAGGGAGGAAAGGAGGACAGAAGGAAGGGAAGCGTGGACAGGAGGTGGGGCAGAGATACCGCCTCCTGGCCCCTGAGCAACGGAACCTCCAGGGAGGATGTTTCTGGAGTCTCGCCCGCAGACCCCCCAAGCACTGGGCAAGGGTAGCTGCTTACTGGCTCCTGAACAGTTTTTACTTCGTCACCTGCAGAGCTTGGACCTAGAGAGCGAGGACAGGGACTACAGGTCCTGCTTGCTGCAGGCTGTAGGCAGGGCTGGTGTTCTAGAGGCCTGTGGCTCTGAGGGCCCCTGGCCTAGAGGTGGCAGCAGGGGGTGGGGGGGACGGGGGGGACTGTCGCTGGTGTTCCCCCAGAGGGCTCAGGTGCTAGTCATAGGAAGAAAGTCTTCCCAGAAGGGGAACAGCTGTCCCTGTCTTCTTCCCCAGCTCCTCTTCCTTGAAGCCCGGTGCCCCAGGACCATGAGGGCTGCCATCCTACCCACCTGGTCTGTCTGCAGGCCCTGCAGTGTAGCCTCCTGCCTAGGCCCCTCCTTCCCTTCCTGCTGCCCCTCGCCCAGGCCAACCCAGGACGCCCCAGGTCACTGGAGGGAGCATGGGACTCGGCCTGGCTTGGAAGACAGTCCAGTCTGCCAAGAGGCCTTCCTTTACCACCATGAGGAAATAAGAGATTTTATTTTACTCGATGTGTTTTTTTTTTTTTTTTTTTTTT